TGCGGTGCACACGAGTCACTTATCGACCCGCTAGACCGGCGCGTTTGTAAAAGATCGGCAGCGATAGCGCGAAAGAAATGAATGGAGAAATCACGGGGCCGTTGACTCGGAGGCATGGCGCCTCGTAAACATCGCCGAAGGCTCACGCACACGCGCGTGCATGCAGCGAGCATCGAAGAAAAAAGGGGAGGAGGACGTGAGAGGGCAGAAGGGGGGCACAAGAGGTACGGAAGAAGAGGGAGAAAGAAAGAAAGAGAGAGAGAAAGAGAGAGGGGAACGCACCGAAGACGGCAGATCGCGAACGAGAGGATGGGAGCTTTCGAAACGAGGTGTAAGGTACCACCGGGTCCCGTGGTACACTTTGTCGTGAAATTATCGTCCCGCTCTGCTCGGCACCGCTCGCACGGCACGGCTCGACTTGGCTCTGCCACATTGCCGCCGCCGCCGCCGCCGCCGCCACCGCCGCCGCCGCCGCCGCCAGCGGAATTCGTGGCCTTGCCAGCGAATTTTCAGACACGCCGGCCGAAACTTACGGCCGTTCGAGTAACCCTATTTCCATCTGGAAACAAAGGCCGCGCCAAGCAAATGTGGGAGGAGGGAGGGCTAGTGATAGCCGAATAACGAACGATTATCTTCGTGTAACAGAACCAATTTGATTTACGACGACTTTGCGTGTGCACAGATATTCTTCTCACACATTATTTTAGAGTAATGAGTATCAATTCTAATAGTTTGCTAATTAATTGAATGGTATCGAAAGTAACCATTGCGGTCATACCAGCACTCTTGCACATCGATTAGATTTGCTAGAGCCGGAGTGTTCCTGCGGAAGCGGTGGAATCTCTCCAGACAATGACGTATAATATATACATAGACCAAGCATTCGTATATTTTTCTATAGCAGCGAGTGAAACCGGAAATTGGCAGTTTAAAACAGAGTGAGAAAATTGATTTGTCTCTAGTGTTTTCTCACTCTCTCCTATTGACTGTCAAAAACAGTATGGCGCCATAGCAACTTTAACCTAATTTAATCATTTTCATAAATTTTTCTTATTTAATAATGGAGAACGAGAACATATTGTACAGTGAAAATTTGTAGCAGAAGGTGTGTGTACTGGAGAACATTTAAAAAATAAAAACAAGTTCTTGTTGTATTTGTTCAAATACGTATACATGATGCGTGGAATTAGTTTTCATAGATACAAATACGTAAATTTAATATATTATGATTGCAGGAAAGTATTATATTAACAAAAGATAAAATAATGGACTATTCTTAAGATAAAATATTGGTAAAAGTTCGCAATATTTTGTGTTTATATATAGCATTTGACAGCTTGTCAGCGGCCATATTCTTTCTATACGATAGAGTAAGAAAGTATTAGGGGAAAATCAATGTTCTCACTTTGTTTGGCATTTCTGGCTTCACTCTGCGGATGTTTGATCTAGGTATATACGTCATTATCTCCGACTTAGACTTAGATTTAGACTTAGGCGGTATTCATAGTCGAATCTTATTTCAAGACCGTCTTAAGTAATGTCTTAAGATGCGAATACGACTCTGGTTCATGACATTTTAAGACAATACTTAAGACGATCTTAAATATAAGATCGGACTATGAATACCGGCCTTAGACTATTGTAGACCGGGTCTACAATAGATATAGCTGAGCCTCTTAAGCTGGTGGCACATAGAAAAACTTAAGCAGTAAGACGTAAGCAGTAAGCAAATCAGCCAATCACAGTCGTTGATTCTTGGATCGTAAGAAGAATCAACGACTGTGATTGGTCAATTTGCTTACTGCTTACGTCTTACTGCTTAAGTTTTTCTGTGTGCCACGGTCCTTAAGCCCATTCTACAATTGCGTAAGCGTAGTCGTGAATGTAAGAGTCAACCAATCCGAATGTTTTATTCACTGATTGCTTTACTCTGATTGGTTGTCGTAATCACTTACAACCACTTACATCCACGTTCACGCAATTGTAGAATGGGCTTTAGAGAACTTACTACAGACAGAAGCCTTAAGCGTCTTCTACAATGGCAGTAGGAGTAGTAGTAAGAAATAAGCAGTAAGCAAATTCCATTCTCATGTTTAAAAAATAATCGATTGTGATTGGTCTATTTACTTACTGCTTATTTCTTACTACTACTCCTACTGCCATTGTAGAAGACGCTTTAGACAAAGGCCGATTAGAATTCGCACTGGTACAAAAGCAGAAACTATCGACTATTACCTAACCATTGGCGCGAATTCTGATTGACTTAAGTAATGTCTTAATCGTCATTATCTCCGACTTAGACTTAGATTTAGACTTAGGTATTCATAGTCGAATCTTATTTCAAGACCGTCTTAAATAATGTCTTAAGATGCGAATATGGCTGTATGATTGGTTCATGACATCTTAAGACAATACTTAAAATGATCTTAAATATAAAATCGGACTATGAATACCGGTCTTAGACTATTGTAGACGGGTCTACAATTGATATAGCTGAGCCTCTTAGAGAACTTACTACAGACAGAAACCTTAGACAAAAACCGATCAGAATTCGCACAGGTACAAAAGCAGAAACTATCGACTATTACCTGACCATTGGCGCGAGTTCTGATTGGCTTCTGCCTTTCTGTCGTCTGCTTTTCTACTAAGGTGTGAATTCTTCCTAAAGATAAAGACTTACTGCATCTATTGTAGACCCGGACTCAGTGAGGTGCGACACTCTCCGATACTATCGTGTTTTATGTTCGCAACGTTCCATACATTACAAATAACGGAGTAGAGCCGCTATCAAGTGTCACGTGGTAATCGGTAACGTAGATCGTAAATCGAAAATCGTAACGGCACTTGGATTTAGAGTCCTTGTTATCTCGAGAATGGAGTACCCGTATCGTAGGCTGACTAGCTATATTCTATTCTCCTTGGCGGGCCTCGGCTGTATCTCGATACGTCGTGATACAGTGTATCCCAGTGAGTTCTTGTAAATCGCGCATTTATACGTCGCAAGATATTCTAGATTATTTTTTTTGTTCCTTACGTCTTACGTTACAGATTCTCTTTCTCCCTCCCCTTCCCTTCCTTAACTCTTCTTGAGTATCACTATAATCGAAGAAATAGAAAATGGAATGACACGAAGGAGTGATGTCAAGGTAGCACTGCTTCACCTGAGGCACATCTTTTTTTACATGAAAAAAAGAAAGCCTGGTGACATTAATATGACATGTTTAGTTAAACGATTATTGGCAGAGCTAGACAGAGTTTCTGATTATTATAAAGAAATATCGAACGTTAGTTACAACCTAGATAAGCAGATCTATTAACTGAAAAAGTGACATAACGCGTAGATAACTCCTGGTTCGAACACCGGGGTAAAGACGAGTCCTTCAAATATAATATAACGTTGAATCAATTTAAATGGCTAATCTCAACCGAACTTGTCTGTTTAAGGGAATGCTAAAGCTGAAAACTTTACCGACACTAATATTTTTCTGCAAAGTTTACGTCGTATTGGTTACATAGAATTACAAATGCTTTTACGCAATGAAAGTACGTGCAAAAATAAATAGGAGCATTGCTCGATATGTGACAAAAACGAACAAAAATTTTTAATGTAAAGTCTCGAGCTGTCAATTAGCGTAATATTTGTCTAATCCAAAAGTTCCGCAGCTCATACATACCGAAAGTGTGGATACTCCAAACAAAAAAATCTTGAAGAACATTGCTTTACCTTCACATTTGCATTTGGAAGCTTAAAAATATCGAAAAAGTTTGCAGAAAGATTTCAACACATATATGGTTAGATTTTCCGTTGAATATGGTAAAACAAAATAACACATATTCATATAAATTCTGTATATACAAGAAATACGAAGAGGATAGCGTGATTATGTTAGTGAC